GATTGAAAAAAATTTTTTTAGTGCTACTGCTATCATCCTAATTCTGAGCTCTTAATAATAAGATACCAGATCAAGGGCCTGCAACTCGGCCGCATTTAGTTGATAGCTGAGTCTCTTATCCGATGTGTTCGCCACTGAAGTTCCAGATGTTTCCGCCTGGAAAAGCGCATTTTCGCTCCTCCCCAAATCACCAGTTCGCCACCTCAGGTCATCCACATTGTCCGAAGTGCCTGTTCTCACCTCGAGGGGTTGATTGGCGGAGCTGGAGGCGGTCGGCGACGTCACAATGCCCGAAGCAGCAGATCCTGAACGATCATCCGGACTATCGATCTTTAACGCATCCTCGATTGTGTTGTGGAAAAACATGTTCATCTTTTCCATGCCTTCATCATAACTGCTGCTGGTGAACGACGGTTTCGGTAGATCGCCACTCGATGCTGCTCCAAGGTCCGTGTAGGTCGGGACGCCTGAATCCACTAAATCTAATCGATGTTAAATGCAAGTGATTTGGAATAATAATGTAGATGTACCGGGTCGAATCTGCGACATGCTAGGAACCGGTAGCATTTGACTGGAAGGTGACTGGAAAGGCCGCGGCTGAGGTGCTACCAATTCCGAGGGCGAATATGCAGGCCTGAACCATGAGAACTACGATCTCTGACAGCTGATGAACTGCAGGTACGTACCTCTTCGACAGCGGTTCATCCTCACCCGGACGACTTGCGCGCTGCACAAGGCTATGATATTCATCCATCGAAATAATTACCTATAATGAGGCGAAAAGTGAGGAAAATCAGAGATAGGAGCTTAGTTCTAAGAAACGTAGATTTCATGCTCACTTGGCGAGATGGATCTACAACTTTAGTTCCAGGCATCGCCGGTTGTGGCAATTGTGAGCGGAGCCGTTGCTGCATCATCATGTTCGGATCGTACTGCAACGAAAACTGAATCCATTTAGAAACCAGGTTCCAAGAAGGCAATAACTAACTGCGTCCGGGCTCCCTTGATTTCCAGGCATTAAACCGAGTGGTCGAGATGGAGGTGAATCAGAGGATCCAGAACCTGCTGGACTCATCAGCGGGTACTGAAAGCATGCGATGTGGTCTGAAAACACACCGGCTCTTCGCAAAATACCAACCTGCCCCGCTGGGCTCACTAATGGCGGTATCCCTCCACGACCACTT